CTGCTTTTGCATTCCTTCCAGGTGGAGGTGGAGAGCCCGCGACCCACCCGCGACCTAAACCACGTTCACTGAACAAACCAATGCCGCACAAGCGCGGCGGCGGATTTTTGCATGCCGCCTGAGCCCGCAAGGACCTCTTCAAGCCCCGCGCATCCACACCAGCCCGTCCAGCAACTCTGCCCTGGCGAGTTGCCTTAATCAAAGAAGGCGGGGATCATAAAGTGGAAAAAAGGATTGCGTTGCAGTTATCTTGGGAAAGGAGGGGGAGGCAGGAGGAGTAAACAGGGGACGAGGAGAACGCGGAAGAAGAGAGGATGTAAGGATAATGTGGAGAAAGAAAAGGAGGAGGAGCAGGAGGACGAGGAGGGGGAGGAGGGGGAGGAGGAGACGATGATGATGATGATGATGATGATGATGATGATGATGATGATGATGATGATGATGATGATGATGATGGACGTCAATGGGAGGACGATGATGGAGGCCGATGAAGGGGAGGACGACAATGGGAGGACGATGATGAAAGGACGAGGGGGGGAGAGGGAGGACGAGGAAGAAGAGGAGGAGGAGGAGGACGAGGTGGAGGAGGAGGATGACGATGACGATGAGGACGAGGACGAGGAAGGAGGAGGAGGAGGAGGAGGAGGAGGAGGAGGAGGACAGCGCCATCGACAGGGAAGGTGGGGGCCACGAGGTCCGCCGGCTCGACGACGCCCGCGTCGCCCGCGCCCGCCCCCTCACTCTTATCCGCAACTGCGGGGTGCTATATATAATTTGTGAAGCTTTGGCGCCTGCGGCGGGCTTCTCCAGGGTCATCCAGACTGCCGACGTCCCCACCGCCCCCTCACTCCTATCCGCATCTGCGGGGTGCTACGATATATACATAGATATATACATATCTGTGTATGTGTGTGCGCGTGTGGTTGTGGCCCTATGCGCTGCAACCTACATTGTGCAGTCTACGTTCGCGATCGCGTGTGTCTCGCGTCGCGAGCTCCGCCAGCTGAGAGGCAAAGTCGTGACCAAGCGCGGCCCCCTGACCTTAAGCTTGTACAAGCTTGTACGGTAAAGTGATCCACAACAGAGTCGTGCGCTGCCGCCTCGCTGACCTCGACTTCGCGCCCCGATCCTCTTTTCCAAGTGGCGCGTCCACGGCCGGCCACCTCTGACTGCGTGCCACGACGCCCAGACCGTGGTGGTCGGCGGCGGGGTGGCGATGGACGGCGCGGCAGTCGCTTGTCTTTCCGCACGATGTACATGATGTTTTCTGCGTGTTGCTTCGGCTTGTTCCGGCCCACACACCTTGCAGACAAGGCTTGGTATGTTGGCAGTTTGGCGCGAAACATCGCCGGCGCGCCTTCGGGTCTGCATCTCGAGAAGTTGACTGTATTGCACTGTGGATGTCCGCGTCGATCGACGCGGCTTGTTGCTCATCTGCATCTGCATTACAGCCGCACGACTCTGCTGCACGTCTCTCAATGCCCCCGCTAACATCAGAGTCTTGTTACCAGCTGCTGCATGCACAATTCTGAGCGGGAGAGGGTGGTTCCGAATGCGCCCGACCCACCCGACCCTTTTTCGCTTTCGTTGGGTTTTCATCTGCGCATTATTCCTGACAGTGGCGCGAAGATCAACGGCGCGCCTTCATGCTTGCATCTCGAGAAGTTTACCTCACTTCACCGTGGATCTCCGCGTCGACCGACGCGGCGCGTTGAGTCGCGATGCGCGGTTGGCCTTTTACTCAGATGCATTCTGTCTGCACGCCTCTCCGTTGTGCCCGTGACTCCCTCGCTAGCTTCAGAGATTCATGCTTGCTGTTTGTTTCCTTTTCTGCTGACGCAGCAAATTGCGCGGTGCCGATGGATGGGGCAGATCCGACGTTTTACTCTCCCCCCCTCATCCGTGCATCGGTGCACCGGATGCCAACGCCAACGCCGAAATCTCCTTTTGAAGTCAGAAATGCAGAGACTTTGTTGAATGCCGTCACCCGTTTCTTCGGGCCCGCGTGTCTTGCGTTGATGACTGACAGCTCTGCGCGTGCGGGAACAGAGCGGGCCTGCTCTGTTTGTGTTTAAAGAACTTCAGACTTCCGTGGGCCGCACGAGCCTCGCCAACCCCAGACCACATGCGCGCCGCAATGCTCGTGGGCCCAATGCACCGCGCGAGCCTCGTGAAACTCGCTGGCCCCATGGGCCCCCTGAATCGTCAGGGCCGCGTCGGGCCTTGCGAACACCTCGGGGCAGTTCAGCCCCATGGGCCCTGGGGGCGCCATGGGCCCAACGGGGCGTTTTTTTCTTTACCCTGCGAGCCCCATGGCCTGCGAATTCGGCGAGCAACCCGAGCCACCTCAGGCTCTTCGGGCTCCGCTGGGCCGCTCTGCCCCCGCAGGGAAGCGGCTCCCATTGTTGTTTGCCAGCGGGGTCTTGAGGCCGGTGCCGCCTCTTCGCCCCTGGCAGCGGCGGAGAGCCGATGCCGGCGCTGAGCCCCCCGCTGGAACGGTGGCCCCACGGGGGAACGGACCCCCTCGACGCCAGGGCCTGCGGGCCGGGGTTTTGGACAGCGCCGCGCTCTCGGGCCCCCGCCGCGCAGGGCGGCAACGGCCCCTGCGCGGGAGCAGGCGGCGGATTCGGAATCGTCGGCTGTCGGCCTCGGGCTCGCAGAGGGTCAGAGATGCGGCAGGGGGCGGGCAGGGGGCGGGCGGGAGGACGGGGAAGGGAGCGGCGGGGGGCACAAACGGGCGGGCGGAGGCGTGGAGGAAAGCGGCGGTGGAGTGAGGGAGGCTTCGGTCATGGAGGAAGCCGCAGCCTTTCCCTTTCTCACCCGCCCCCCGAGAGCGCCCACCAGGTTCGCCTCTCGCCTGCACTTTTTGTTTCCTGCCCTCCCTCCTGCGCGGCGCGCGATGTCTTCCTTCTCCCCCCACGCCCCCCCCGTGCGATTCCGAAAGCCTGGCTGGGCTGGCTCACGCTGGCCCAAAACGCATTCCAAGTTTCATGAAACAAATGTCTGTTTGGTGCCGATGTCGTTTTTTTTGTCTTTCCAGTGTAGCAGCTGGGCTGTTTGAACAGATTGCAGGATGCTAGGCCGGGGGCCCTATTTCGCACACGCGGTGGCCTTCGTTCACGAGGCAGTTGGGAATATAATTCAGGAGCGCGCGCGGCGCTTGGCCAAAAACCGCATGTTGGAAGCCACTGGCCTTGCATCCTTGCAGCAGCAAGAGCTTCTGACCCTATAACTGTCAGTGCTGGGGAGGGAGGTATCGAGAAACGTTTGGCTTTGCCGACGCACGCGTCAGTGGCAAGGGGGAAGGATCGAGAGGAAGGAGGGACGACGGAAACAGGACGGAGGGAGGGCATCAGGAGAGAGGAAGATGGAGGAGGAGGCCAGGAAGGGAGGGAGGAGGGAGGGAGGACGAGAGAAAAAGGAAGGAGGCGGGAGGAAGGTACACGGGGGATGGAGGATGAGGAAAAGGAGGAGGAGGAGGAGGAGGAGGAGGAGGAGGGAGGGAAGGAGGAAAATAGAGGGAGGAGGACGGAAGGCGGACGGGGTGTGAGGGATTCGGATGGCGTAGGAGGGAGGCAGGGATGACAGGGTAGGGGAGGAGCAGGAGGAGGAGGGGGAGGAGGAGGAAGAGGTGAGGAGCAAGGGAGGAGAAAGGAAGGGGGGATGGAAGCAGGGAGGTCGCCCATGCCGGAGGAGCGGGCGAGTTCGGCTGGGGACGCCGCGCCGCGGCAGCGGTCGCGGTCGCCGCCGGGACGCCGCAGGGTTCGCCGCGACGACGACGACGACCATAGTCCACGACATCGTCGACGACGGGAGTCGATCGGGGGCGAACAAATTGCTGCGGTAGGTATTACGGTTGGTCGAGTTTGTGTTGCAGGCAGGGCGGCGGCAGCGACGACGAGAATGACGGCGGGCAAGTCGACATCGTAGACGTTGTTTGGGGAGTTGTCGGGCGTTTCGTTACCATGGCTGGACGCGGCTACGGAGATTTGTCTTTGGTCGCGCCCTTACGGCCAGGGCGTACTGGCAGGCTGCCGGGTGCCCGGGGAATGGAGCCAATCCCCTCTCGGGATCCGCCCTTGACCCGCGCTCCCGCGTTTGGCGGTGGCGCCCGCTCGGCGATAACATACAATGCCACTGGAGAGCGTTTTTGCCCGGTCCTCCGCCTCGTCTCGTGAGTGCGGGTCTCATGTGCGTTGTGCCCCTCCTTCTTCTGGGCCCCTTGGCCTCCTCCTCTCCCCCTCCCTCCCTCCAGCTTGATAGCAACCATTGTTAGGTTTCTATCACGCGCTGCTTTGCGATGAGTGCAGGCGGTCCCATTTACGGGCAGCTGCAGGCATTTTCACCCCGCAGTGGTGCGGTTTCTTTTCTGCAGGTGACTTGTGCGCGTCTTCGAACCTGAGCTGTTGGGTTTGATACACTATAGATCGCCTTAGGCTCCTGTCTGTTCTTCCTCCTCTCCGCCTCCTCCTCCTCTCCTCCTCGTCCTCTTCCCCTCTTCCTCTCCCTGTGGCTGTCATTGCTCATCTGAAATGGGGGATTCTTGAGCCTGGCCCAGTGTCGGTGCTGTCGCGTCTCACCTCTGTTTTGTTGGTGGTGCTTCCGTGGAGTAGCCCGGATACCCACTCTGAGGACATGCGAGTTAATTTGATAATCGTCCTCTGCTTGCCACTTGCCGCATTCGAGCTTTGCCGCTCAGCCCCGCGGGCTCTTTTCACTCGACCCGTGATGCCACGATACGCGCGCGAGCTCACAGGGACAGCATCGCAACGTCTGGAGGCTGCGACGTGGAACAAAAAAAAAAATAATAATAATAAAAAAAATGTCTTTGGTCGCGCGACAACGACGAAGGCGATCATCGACGACGACGACGACGACGACGACCATCGGTGACGAGGACGACGACGATGACGAAGGCGACCATCGACGACGACGACGACGACGAGGCGGACGTCAACGATGATTTAGCGTAGCTGACGGGCGATGGGGCTGAAAGATGCCGACGGCGAGCATCGATTACCATCGCGACGAAGCCGTCGACAACGACTGCGAGGTCGACGTCTATACGACTACCAGCATCCGCGATGACGACGCGTATTTGTGACGTCGAGGAGGCCGACGGATTGCGTCGACGTGGACGGCAAGCATTGGCGACGACGATCATTGACGATGGCAACGACCACGACGACGATGACCGTGCATCGTTGATGACGACGGGCACGCGCCTAAGCGCGCCAACTTAGAGAAGCATCCAGATTATGTGCGCGCGATGATTGGTGCTTCCGCGCTGGCGCTGTTCAAGATTAGCGTGGCGAAAAGCCTAGTTATTTGCAGTTGTGAGTGCCGCAGTTGTGGGTGTCGTCTTCGGTGGGCCGCCTCATGAGGCCACGAAACGTGTGAGGGGTGTGACGAAATGGGAGTGGAACCCCATGCGAACCCTGCCACTGGGCCCTTCGGCGGAGCTCCCTATGGGGCCACGAAACGTGTAAGGGGTGCGCCGGAAGTGGGGGTGGAACCGCATGCGAACCTTGCCGATGGGGCCTTCTGTGGAGCTCCGTATGGGGCCACGAAGTGTATGAGGGGTGTGCCGAGATGGGAGTGGAACCGCATGCGAACACTACCATTGGGGCATCTCCCTATGGGGCCACGAAACGTGTGAGGGGTGTGTGTGGGTGGAACCGCATGCGGACCCTGCCGCTGGGGCCTTCGGTGGAGCTCCCTATGGGGCCACGAAGCGTGTGAGGGGTGTGCCGACACTAGGGTTGAACCGCATGCGAACCTTGCCACTCGGGCCTTCGGTGGAACTAACTCCCTATGGGGCAACGAAACGTGTGAGGAGTGTGCCGAAATGTGGGTGGAACCGCAAGCGAACCCCTACGGGGGCCTTCGGCGGAGCTCTCTGTGGGGCCACGAACCGTGTGAGGGGCGTGCCGAAATCTGTGTGGAACCGCATGCGAACCGTGCCACTGGGGTCTTCGGCGGAGCTCCCTATGTGGCCACGAAGCGTTTGAGGGGTGGACCGAACTTGGGAATGGAGCCGCATGCGGACGCAGCAACTGGGGCCGTCGGTTGAGCTCCCTATGGGGCCTCGAAGCGTGTGAGGGGCGTGCCAAATTGGGGGCGGAACCGCGTGCGAACCTCGCTACTGGGGGCCTTCGGAGCAGCAGTGTGGCGGCGTGGCACAAGAAGGCCTTGGCCACGCACGCGCGCCTGCTGCGGAATGCCGCCCGGGGTTTGCACCCCAGGACCGGGGTCCGTCTCGAGCCCTGGGCCGCTGGCCCCCTGCAGGTGCCGCCTCCGCCTGTCCGTGGACCTCCTGGGGGCCCTGGTGCGGCTGCCTGCGGCTCCGCGGGGTGTGTGCTCGAAGGTGTGCCTCGCCCCTCTGTCGCCGAGGGTCCCTCCTGAGCTGCCGCGCCGTCGTGCATCTCTTTCCCGTGGCGATGGTGACAGCTCTGATTAGGGTGCCGCACTTTATACGCTCGAGCCTTGCCTTTCATGAATTATTGTGCGTTGTGGGCTTGTGCCAGCACGCTGCTTCCCTCGCCGCGGTGGCAGCGGCACTGTTCAGACATTTAGGGGGCTGCCCCATGTTTAACAGAGTGTATGGTGGGGCCGTGGGTCGGGTCCCGGAGTTGCCCCGAGACAGCACCCGCCCGTTCTGGCCCTCTCGAGCCTTACCGTGATGTTGTCGGTTGCGAGCCCGTGTTCCGAGCCCAGTGGCTGTCACCCAGACAGCTGCGCGTTGGGTTCCCCTTGCACCTCACCGCGGTGCTAGCCTCGCAGCAGGAGGATCGGCTTCTCAGCTGACCCTCCCGCCGTCTACACTCGCTTAGGTCTGCTAGTGGCACACCTGCAGACTTGAGGTTCACTCGCTCCCTCATTTTTTTTTTGGTAGCCCGCAGCCGCGTTTCCGGCCCGAGCCGCTCGAGCCCTTCGCCCCGCGAGCGCCCATGGATGTCCCCACAGGGAGGCCATGGGGAGGACAGAGCGCATTTCGAGGCGGGGCGGCTAACTTACGACAGCAGCGCCCTGCGGAGGGAAAACGAACTGTGGCACCGCAGGGGCCGCGAATATCTTGGACCGCAGTGGCGGCGAAACCTGACCCAAGAAAGTAAAGGTGCGCGCGTGCGTGGCCTTTCCGTGCCAAGCGAAGTGGGGGTTGCCACAGCGCGGCCATGTAGAGCCGCCGCAGCTCCAGCACCAAAAGCACCCGCAGCATCAGCCGCCCCCGCAGTTAATTGCGATATCGAGCGGGGTTCTACGCAAGGAGCGGGCTCCTGTGGGCGGTCAGCACGGTGCAGCCTGGCCGCAGTTGGTGCAGCGTGGCCGCAGCTGTGGACAAGTGGCAGAACGGTGGCCTGTATAAGTGCAAGGAGGAATAATCACCATCTTCATCGGCAGCACCACCGTCAACATGATTCTCCTCGTCGCCGTTATCATCTTTGATAAGTATTCTTCATGCTACTTGTTCCACGTCTGAGCTGCGGCTGTTCTTCTCTTTCCCGCCTCCTCTGCTCTTCTCTCTCGTCGCCGCTTTCGTTTCGTTTGCCTTCTTCGCTCGGGTCGATCTCTCCTGCTTCGCCTCGTTTTCGCTGCTTTTGCGCAGCCTCTGCGCATTGGCCTTGCTCATTTTTTTCTCGCGTCTGGCTGGCGACAGTTGCGCTGTGACCACCGGCCTCCGCTCGTAGCACGACCTTTCCGACGCCGCGCGGGTGCCCGCACGCGGTCGCGATCAAAAAGTATTCCCGCCAGCCCATGCAGAAGCCCTACCCACGAGAGTTGACGGGAAAAAGGGACGAAGGGACACATCTAGGGAAACAGAGCGAGCAACCAGGATGAACCGAGAGATCTCTGGGAGCAAGGGCGACGCGGCGTGGCATGGGAACGCTGCCTCTTCGGGCCATCCCGGGGGGCCGCGTGGGGGCGAGGGGAGGAGGGGAGGAAGAAGAGAAGGAGCGCTTCCGCTTTATGTTTTCCTCATTATTCCTCAGACCACTTGTTGCCCAACGGGCTGGTGGGATTTCTCAGCCGTCAGCTGGTGCTGCTGCTGCTGCTGGCGGTGCTGCTGATGTTGTTGCTGCCTCTGCTGGTGCTGCGGCTGGTGCCCTAGAAGGCCTGTTGGGGCCATCTAGGAGAATATCGATCAAAATATGGGGGGTCCTCTCAAAATCGAATATTGGAGCTCTCCTGGGGCTTTTTTGGGAGGGCATTGGAGTCCTCTTGGGCCTCTTGTAAGGGTCTTGGAGTCCTCTTGGGGCACTCTTGGGGCTCTTGGGGCCCTCTTGGGAGCCCTGGAAAGCCTCTTGGGGCGAACTTGAAGGCCATCGATCAAAGGAGGAGATGGTATAACGTTCAGTCCTCCCCCGAAGAGGCCCAAATGGGACCAAAACCTACGTAAAACCCATGATGCTGGCTTTCTCGCCGAGGCTGTTTTTGGATGCCCTGAAACCTCGCGAAGTCCCCCAAAAAAGTCCAGTGGACGGGGCAGGGGGAGGGGTAAACCCTTCCCCGTATTGGAAGAGGGTTTTTCTGGAAGAGGGAAGAGGAATCTCGTTCGACTACCTGCGCCCAGAGGGCTGGTGGGATTCCCCAATCAGAGCTTGCACTGCAGGGGTCCTAGCAGGAGTTGAAAGAGTTGGCGAAAGTTTCCCGCCGATTTTGGTAGTAGCTTGGGTTCCTGGGTTCCCGGATCCGGGTTCCCAGGTTCCGGGTTCTGGGCCGATTTCGAAGGGCGGCGGGGTTCCAAGGTTCCCGGGTTCCCGGGTTCTTGGTCGATTTTCATTTCGATCGGTTTCACCATCGATCCCATTACCCACCTCATTATCGATCTCACAATCAATCCCACGATCGATCCTACTAACGATCTCACAACCGATCTCACTATGGGTCGCACGATCGATTTCACGATCGATCTCAATATTGATCTCATTGAATCGGCTTAACGATCAGTCTCATTGAATCGACTGCGCTATCGGTCTCACTATCGATTCCGTTATCGATATCACAAACGGTCTCAAGATCCATATCATTAATTGTCAAGCCATCTACTGATTGTGGTTACTTTCTGGTGCACTTGGTTATCATCATCATCACCATCATCACCATCATCATGAACGTCATCATCATCATCAGTACCATCATCCGATCTCGCATGCGAGATTCCCCTGTGACAACGTTCAAACAAAATACCAGGCCGCTCCTTTGAAGCTGCTTGAGGGCATTCAAACCAGTGCCAGGGCACTGCTTTCCATCGTCCCCTCGTCTCCATTAGATTGGCCGTAGGATTTGGGAGCTCCACCGACGGCCTCAGCTGCTGCGTTCGCGTGCGCCCACCCCATCTATTTTGGCACGCACCCTTTACATGTTTCATGGCCCCATAGGGGACTCCACCGACGGCCCCGGCGGCTGCGTTCGCATGCGCCCACCGCACCTATTTCGGCACACCCCTCACGCGTTCCGCGGCCCCATAGGGCGCTCCACCGAAGGCCCGAGTGGCTGCGTTCGCACGCGCCCGCCGCATCCATTTTGGCGCGCCCAGCACAAACTTCGCGGCCCCACAGGGAGCTTCACCGACGGTCCCATTATGGCGCGCGCCCACCGCGCCCATTTTGGCACACGTTTCGCACTTTTGGTCCCCCCACAAGGTTTCCACCAAAGGCCCGGGTGGTTGCGTCCGCATTCACCCGCCGCGCCGATGTCGGCACACCTCTCACGCGTTTCGTGGACCCGCAGGGAGCTCGACCGCAGGCTTGAGTGGCTGCGTTCGCATGCGCCCACCGCACCTATTCCGGCACACCCCTCACAGGCTTCGTGGCCCCATAGGGAGCTCCACCGACGAACCCAATGGCTGTGCTCGCATGCGCCCGCCGTGCACATTTCGACACACCCCGCACACGCGTCGTGGGCCATAGGTAGCTCCACCGAAGGCTCCAATGGTTGCGTTCGTGTGCGCCCACCGCACTCATTCCGGCACGCCCCTCACACGTTCTGTAACCCCACGAGGAGCTCCACCGACGGCCCTGGTGGCTGCGTTCGCATGCGCCCACAGCACCAGTTTTGGCACATTCACACGCTTCCCAGTCTCAGAAGGAACTCTACCGACGGCGCCAGTGGCTGCGTTCGCAAGTGCCCACGGAATGAATGTTGGCACACATCTCCCACGTGTCGTGGGCCACATAGGGAACTCCACCGACGAACCCAATGGCTGTGTTCGCATGCGCCCGCCGCGCATATTTCGGCACACCCCGCACGCTCTTCGTCGCCGCAGAGGGAGCTCCACCGAAGGCTCCAACTGTTGCGTTCGCATGCGCCTACCGCGCCCACTCCGGCACACCCTCACGCATTCCGTAGCCCCACATGGAGCCCCACCGAAGGCGCTATTGGCTGCGCTCGCAAGCGCCACCCGCGCATATTTCGGCACACCCCTCACACGCTTCGTGAACCAATAGGGAGCTCCACGGAAGGCTCCAATGGTTGCGTTAGCGTGGGCCCACCGCGTTCGTTTTTGTACACCTCACGCGTTCTGTAGCCCCGCAGGGAGCTCCACCGACGGTCCCAGTGGCTGCGTTCGCATGTGCCCACCGCGCCATTCTTGGCACACCTCCCACGCGCTTCCTGATCCCATAAGGAGCTCCACATACGAACCCAGTGGTCGCGTTCGCAAGCGCAAACAGCACATATTTCGGCACACCCCTCCCACGTTTCGTGGCCCCGTAGGGAACTCCACCGACAGTTATTTTTGGCATTCCCCGCAAACGTCTCGTGGCCCATAGGGAGTTCCGACGGCCTCAACGGCTGCGCTCGCATGCGCCCACCGCACCCTGTTTGTACACCCCTCACACGCTCCGTGGCCACAAAGGGAGCCCTACCGACAGCGCTACTGGCTGCGTTCGCATGCGCCCAGCGCGCCCACTCTGGCGCGCCCCTCACACGTTTCGTGGCCCCGTAGGGAACTCCACCAGAGGCCCCAGTGGCTGCGTTCGCATGCGCCCGCCGCGCAAAGTTTGGCACACCCCTCACACGCTTCGTGGCCACATAGGGAGCTCCACCGACGAACTCAATGGCTGTGTTCGCATGCGCCCTCCGCGCACATTCCGCACACCCCGCACGCGCTCCGTGGCCCCATAGGGAGCTCCACCGAAGGCTCCAATGGTTGCGCTCGCATGCGCTCACCGCGCCCACTCCGGCACACTCCTCACACATTCCGTAGCCCCACAGGGAGCCCCACCGAAGGCGCTATTGGCTGCGCTCGCACGCGCCACCCGCGCACCCTTCACACGCTTCGTGGCCCCATCTGGAATTCCGCCGACAGACCCAGTGGCTGCGTTCGCATGCGCCCACCGCACACATTTTTGGCGCACTCTTCACACGCATCGCGGCCCCATAGTGAGGTTCACCGACGGCCCCCATGGCTGCGTTCGCACGCGCCCACCGCACCCATGTCGGCACACCCTTGACACGTTTCGTGGCCCCATAGGGAATTCCACCGACGGCCCCAGTGGCTGCTTCCGCATGCGCCCACCGCACCTTCTTCGGCACACCCCGCACGCGCTCCGTGGCACCATCAGGAATTTCACCGACGGCCCAGTGGCTGCGTTCGCATGCGCCGACCGCACAAAGTTTTGCATACCCCTCACACGTTTCGTGGCCCTACAGGGAACTCCTCCGAATGCGGAGCGCACAACGACGGCATTCACAACTTCATATAGTTTGGTCCGTCGCCAGGCTATTGTGTTGCACAGAATGCCGCCGATCTGAAATTTTGAAATCTATGTGGTTCCAATCCGAACGTTTTCAGTCATTTGAGCTGGGGATTCCCGCTACAGCGTTGGCCATTTTAAATCATTTGCCCGCTGGAGCGCCGACTTTATTTCATTATTACGATTCTTCCAAATCGCGTTCCTGCTGCAACTATTGCTTCAGCTCCGCGCTTCCAGTCCTTCCAAATCGTGCTCCCACTGCAGCGTTATTATCATTTCCGCGGTTTTGGCCCTTCGAAATCGATCTCCCACTGCAGCGCTGATCTCACTTTGCGCTGCCCGATTTCCCAAACGTCCATTTGCAGTTCCCGTCCTGTGTCAGTTCTGGTTTCCCTCAGGCCTTGTTGTCGAACTGAGTCGCGTTCTCGACGCGACGACGTCGGCTGTAGCCGTGCTCGCCTATGCCGTGCTATACCATGCATCGCGTGCTCTGTGGGGATAGTTGCCCTGTTCGGCATCCGACAGCGCGGAGAGAGGGGATCTACGCAATGGTAAGGGATGGGGGGGATGGGTAGGACGTCAGATATGACGCTTGCGCACCTAGCTTGCCCAACCCCCTTTTCCTCTCTTCTCCGCCGCTCCCCCCCTCCCTTCACCCACCCGTTCCTCCCCTCGATCCTCGAGCCTCCCTTTCCCCCTGCCCGCCAAGGATCCTCGAGCCTCCCCCCCCACTTGTTCTCCTCTCTGCCTCTGCCGCGCGGGCCGCAGGCTGCGAATCCCGCGCCCGCCGCCGCCGAGGAGGACTGGTGCGGCGGGAGGTCCCGGGGGAGGGGGGACGGCAGGGCTCGGGCTGCACCTTTTCCGAGACTGCAGCCCTGAGCATAAATTGTCGGGGGTCTTCGCGGATTGCGAAGGCCTCACGGCCGGTGCCGCCGACCCTGAAGACGACGAAGATGAAAGGGAGGGGGGGGGCAGGGGGAGGAGAAGGAGTGGCAGGAGGAGGAGGAGGAGGAGGAGGAGGAGGAAAGGGGCGTCGGTCGATTTGTTCTCGTCTGTTGTCTCCTTTGGCTGCGGCTTATCCTGCGTGACAGAGGGATGAGGATGAGGAGGAGAAGGAAGAGGAGGAGGGGTAGGAGAAGGAGGAGGAGGAGAAAGATGAGGGACAACGAGGAAGGGGAGGAGGAGGAGGAAAAGAAGGATGATGAAGATAAGGACGATAAATATGAAGAAAATGGAGGTCAGGAGGAGGAGGAGGAGGATTATGGGTACGCGCCAGGAGGAACAACAAAAAATATGGGTACGCGCCAGGAGGAGGAGGAGGATTATCAGGAAGGAGAGACGAACGGAACAACTGATGAGGAAAAGGAGAAAAGGACAATGAGGACGAGAGGGAAGAGGAGAGGAAGGCGGAGGAGGAGGAATAGTAGAAAGAGCAGCAGGAGGAGGAAGAGGAGGGGGACAGATGATGAGGAGGGGGAGGAAGAGGAGGAGGAGGAGGAGGAGGAGGAGGAAGAGGAGGAGGAGGAGGAGGGAGAGGATGAGGAGGGAGAGGATGAGGAGGAGGGGAGGAGCTTCTTGGAGCCTTGGTGGGGGAATTCTTGGAAAGCTCCTGGGGCGTCTAGGAGGCTTCTTGGATCGTCTAGGGTTGAGTGTGTGTGTGTGTGTTTTGCAGGCAAATCGCCTCAAAAGCTGAACTGAAAAATCCCATGATATTCTGATTCAACTATGATTCAACTCTGGCCCAGAACTCTGTTTCATCTGTGATTTATTTGAGATTCTGATTTAATACTGGTCTGACCTCCGATGTAATTCTGATTCGGCTCTGTCCCCAGCCAGAGCTAAATCAGATATTGATCAGATTTCCAGACCAGAGCAGAATTTCAGCTAAACCAGATAAATGAATCATAGTTTCAGGCCAGAGCCAAATCAGAGTTTCAGCCAAAGCAGAGAGGAGTTTCAGGCCAGAGCCAAAACAGAGCTGAATCAGAGTATCATCGGAGTTCTGGCAGTCCCGGCCGGAGGGCTCCCCTCCCTCCTTCCTTCGCTTCCCTCTCCCTCCCTTTCCCTCCTCCCCCGCCCGCGCCCCTCTTCCCCCCTCCCCCCCCCCCTCCTCCTCAGTTTGTCTCCTCCCTTCTCCCCCTATTCCCGCCCTTATCCTCCACCTTCCCTCCTCCTCCTCTTCCTCCCCCTTGGCCTCGCTAGTCCCGTTTCCTCCTTCCTCGGTCGCCGTCGCCCTCCGCGCGTTGTCCCTCCTCTGCCCTCGGCCCCAATTCCTCCCTTTGTCCTTTCGTTCCTCCTCGTCGTCCTCCTCATCCTCCGTATCAAGCGTCAGTCTTCGCTCTTCGGCCTCAGTGTCCTTCCCTCGTTCTCGCCCTCGCTTCCACCCTCGCTGCAGGCCCCGCGCCCGGCCTCGTCTCCGCCTTTGCCCCCGCCCCCCGCCCCCGTCCAAGGCCATTTTCACTTCAGCCCTCTTCCTCGCCTTCGCCTTCGATCCCGTCCTTGCTCTCACCGTCGTTCCCGCCCTCGTTCCAACCTTCGTTCCCGCTCTGGTTTTCGCCTTCGCCCCCGCCGTCGCCCCCGTCCTCGTTCCCGCCGTCGCCCTCGCCCCCGTCCTCGTTCCCGCCGTCGCTCCCGCCCTCGTTCTCGCCCTCGTTCTCGCCCTCGTTCCCGCCTTCGTTCTCGCCTTCGTTCCCGCCCTCGCTACCGCCCGCATTCCCGCCCTCGTTCCTGCCCTCGTTCCCGCCCTCGTTTTCGCCTTCGTTCTCGCCCTCGTTGTCGCCCTCGTTCCCGCCCTCGTTCCGGGGCCGCCCGGAGGCCGCCCGGGGAACCCGAGGGCCGCCTGCCTGAAGGATCGGCGTGGTTAATAAGTGTTACCGTGAATTATAACCATGTTATAACTAGGATATAAGCCTGTTATAAATATGTATAGTTTGTTTTCACTAGGTTACGAACTTACTAACTTCGTTAACTTGGCCCCTCGTGTTAAGAATAGTTACGTGGAGTTAGAAAAGTTAGAGCAAGTATATTTAACATATGTTTGAACAACGATGGCGTGTAGGCTGTTGTTCCTTGGTGTATACGGTTGTTTGCAATGTTGCGAATCGTTTTTGTAGCATGGCGTTGCTAGAGTTTTGCCTGACTCCCCCCAACAAGAGTGCGATCGGTGCAATGCATTCGTGAATTTCGAAGGGTGCATATTGCAAGATTGCAATGTTCCTTTGCATATATGCATGCACCGTATAGGCTTCTGGCTCAACAAAGGTGGTTTCCACGCGCGGCGTCACGACCTCCAAGCGTGAACTGGACATACAGAACGTTATTGGGGAGATGCAGCAGATCAAGGCTACATATGAGCAGCCAGACGCCCCCGTTGTGTCTTTGTTCGAGAAGGTATGCGCCATAGCGCAGCGGAGCGGCATCGATTGCATCAGGATGGATGGGGATTCGTAGCAAATACATGTTCGCGTGCATGGAAAACAGGTATGGGGATGGGGCTGTGCCGAGCGATGTGCTAGATCTTATCTTAAAATATTCAGGAACGGCTTCAAGAACTCGGCCCTTCAAAATCCATTGCGCATGGAATTGCAAACAGGCTCGGCGGGATATGAGAAGGTCAAAGCATTCAACGATAAGATACTGAGCGATTCTGCTGGCCAGATGATTTTATATGAATGCGAAGCTACATTCGCAAGCTACACGTGTGGACATACAAGCATGGGGTTGTGTTGCTTATATGCAGAAGCTTCCGCGCCGCAGAAGCAGCCATAACGATTCGACCGGATTTCGCAAGATGGGTTCCTTTCAGTGAAGAGGTTGAGGGAATCGCAGCCCGACTACGCAAAGGCTTGCAATGAGGGCATTGAGTGGAAGGTCTTTCGGTATGAATATGTCAAGGCGTTCCCTTGGATTTCAAACCTTGCCCAGGAAGCAGGCAATGCGGGGCAGCAGATCGCGCGTTGCGAGTCCCGATTGAGCCTGAAGTTCAAGCTCGCACCCATTGCGAACCGTTTGGCTAACCAAGGGGGCAAGATCGACTGGCCGAGGGCCATTCAAGATGCGACTCGCGCGGGCCCCTTCTTCCCTGGGGAAGTCGACGGATTGGTCACGCATGCGAACGAGATGTCGGGTGGTCTGGGCGAGCCAGTTGCCCATCTGCGAATTGCGGGACTTCTCACGGCAATTAACTGCCCAGTGCGTGGTCACAGGCGCCATGGCGAAGAGCCTCGCCGAAGCGAAGATCAACAACGAGGGGGCAGCGGTGACATTCGAACTCGCACGCGTGAAAGCCATGACGGCCGCGAGTGGCAAGTACGCCAGGGACGGCCATCAGATGCTCTCAAGGCCAGGTGACGTGTCCGCGCTGTCGGGTGACAAGAAGGCTACAATTGTTCTGCATGCGGATGAGTTCTTGCAGAAGGTGCGAGAGATCGCAAAAAAAAGGCGTTGCGCCAGACGCGCTCGCACGCGGTACCATCGTTGGGTTGACTGATGTTCGCGTCGTGCACTTCGTACTCAACAAACCAAATGAACGATTGGGCGGCGCCACAACGATGCCAGATTGGCGCCAGCTTCTGCACTGCGTTGGCAACGCATGTGGGCAAGCCAGTGGAAAGCCCATGGGGGGCCAAGGCCGCTCCTGCAGAAGCGCCCAAAACGGCTACGAGCTCGGGTGTGAAGGAGTATACTGCGACAGGCGCATGGCTCAGTCAGGCAGATAAGTTGTCGGAGAGAGGCTTCTCGTCGAAAGCAAAGCTCTGCTTGGCGAAGGGCGACGCCAGGGACAGCGCGTTCGAGTTCGTTGGGGTCGATGCGAAGGGTGTGAAGTTGGTGACCGGGAGTAAGACAGTTGTCGAGAGCATTGACGAGATGCTAAACGGGAAATACGCCTTGAGCACGACTAAGGACAGGCCAGCGCGCGATCTCGTCGCAACCCGACCTTCAATTGTTTTGACGACCTCTCTCTCTCTCTCTCTCTCTCTCTCTCTCTCTCTCTCTCTCTCTTTCTCTCGCTCTCTCTCTCTCTCTCTCTCTCTCTCTCTCTCTCGCTCGCTCTCTATATATGTTTATGCCCCCCGTCCTCTATTTCATATGTCTCTCCATCTCTCTACATATCTCATTATCCCCATCTCTCTCTCGTTCTCCCGCTCGCTCTCTGTCGGTCTGTCCCCCGCTCTATGTACGTTTAACAATCCATTCACCCATCCAGTGCTATGCCTCTCGCATGCCCCCCCCCCCCCCCCCCCCCCCTCCCATCCTTCCCAGGAAACAACCGAAGAGTTTGCTGACCACGGCCCCATGATGAGCGTCGACTGGCAGCCGTCAATTGAGGGGGCGAAAATCAGAGTCGCCTTGGGCGACATGCACGCCCAGCAATCAGATTGCTTGAAAGGCATCACTCGCGTACCGTCGCCTGTTAAGTATCGGTCTATCACTGCCACGCGTGCATTCAAAACAGGAGAGATAGTGCTTGCCCCACTCACTGCGAACATCGCCATGAAGAAACCCAACGCAGACTCACCAAACGGGAGCGTGTTTGCGAAGTCATACAAGGACCTCAAAGGCACCATTTTCAACATCGCGTTGCTTCCCACTGGTGGCATGAAGATGCCCAAGGTGCAGGCGAATACGGGCGTAGTGGGGCTGGCAAAAGGCCCTTGGCCCCTTTAATCATTCCATTTTGGTTCGTGCAGGAGTCGACCCCCAAGCTCGATGCAAACATGAAGGTCATGGCCATGAGGTCCGATGTGATACCGTCTGCGTCTGCGCGGGTGCTGACCAACAAGAGCGACGTCGCGAAGGGA